GAGAGAGAGAGAGAGAGAGAGAGAGAGAGAGAGAGAGAGAGAGAGAGAGAGAGAGATTCACGACATTGGGATTAGGCGACATTCGAATGCAGACTTGACATTTCGGGAGAGACATTGTGGGGGACTATTTTTGGATTGGTATCGATGACATTTTGGGTTGACGACATCTTCCATCTCTTCCCCCCTTTGTCTCTCCTCCCTCCTCCTCATCTGTGTATGTTACGGCCTGGCGACCTTCGTCTCTGTGTTCAGCACCAGGCTATTCACACCCGGTGATGATGATGATGATGTTCAGTCTGTGTCACGACATTGATAGGGTCTGGTTGTTGGTATTTCAGTCTTCCGCTATCATTGCTCCATGTTTGAGAGGTCGGTTCTTGGTTCTGGTCTGCGCCATTTGGCATGTGACAGAGATGAGAGGGAAATGAAATTGTTGTGGGCAAGTGGCCATTTTCCAAGGGCAGGCTTGACCCACCCCTCTAAAAATGGCCAGGATACAATTAGGAGGCCTCACTTCACGCCATAGATGGAAATTGAGATGCAATCAGCATGAAGATTTATGCAAGGCCACGGGTATTGGCAACAAATGGCCCAATGGAACCAGCACACATCTTGCACTGCCTTCAACACTGTCGGGAACATGTGAAGAGAGTTCACTAATGGGACAAAGCTGATGCGAAACAAAGTAGTAGTGCATAGGTCTATGAAATGCATCCCTATTCCTTTACATTTGACGAGGAGTTTTCTAACAAATGCCACAGCAATTCACACTCACATGAATTGCAGCTCTCCCAGATCACCTAGCTCGCTCGGAATATTCCCTGACAGCATATTGCCCTCCAAAGACCTGTTTCATGACCGCCACAAGTTACGCCAACGACAGAAAGGGCGAGTATCATACTGGTGTTACTTATGATAATGTGCAGTAGCAAGGGATGAGCAGAAGAGAGATGATGAACAAGAAGGGTTTCTAAACGGATTGACACATACGGCTGATCATTTTCCAAGTGCATACTCACTGGAAGCCTGCGATAAAGTCATGGATTTCCATTCTGATATCAGTCAGGTGCGAGTGTGTAGCCACATCTTCATAACTCACAACCTGTGCAAGAGTAATGGATCCTTGAAAAGGGCCAAAAGCAACAGCATAGATATGAATGGTATCCAAGAATGATATACAAGAGCCTTCAGAACTTACAATATCTCTAAGTTGGTGAGGTTGCCCAACTCCCGTGGTACTGACCCTGAGAGCTTGTTGTTCCCCAAGGACCTGCAGGCAAAACAAAGCATGCATGGAACAGAGGATACAGCTAAGTCCACATTCAATGCTTCCGAATGCCGGGCCAAACAAAAAAGGCTTTCCAATTTTGCTTCAGTTTCAGAAAGTGAAACATGAAACTGAACCTCCTTGGAACTTGTGAAGCAACCATGCACACATCGGCAAAGCCAAGATGTCATTTCAGGGATAACACCTTGCAGATACCAAGCAGGATCTGGGTCCTCGGCAGGCCTAAGGGCCCCCTGTTGCATACGTGCCCGCCCTAAGTGAAGGCGGGCCTAACAAATCATGAGAGGCCCTCCACTGACAATTTCGTATTTTGGGGGTCCAGACAATTGCGACGCGCCAGTTGGTTAAGGGAAATACAGACCGACCAACAAAGACATTCCACGGCCTTCTGGCCCTTTTGGAAGAATGCAGGCCCTGGGCAAGAACCGCAGCCTCATACAGTGACAGTTGTGAGGCCCAACCGAATGAGGCCCAGTAGCTGCAACACATGCGCAGCATCCTGGGGCCAACTGGAAGCTTCTGGGCCCAGGCCAGTCCAGCTAGGCTGCGAAGGCAGGAGGCTCGTTCCATATAGGAAAGAGCTCGCCACCAGCAGCCTCATTCAGGCACTAGCATGCTAGCGGCAGCTCTGCTGGAGCAGATGCTCGCGGGCTGCTGCTGGCGCTGAGAGGCGAGGTGCTAGCGCGTGCGGTCGTGCAGAGAGCAGGGCGCTGCTGAGGGCAGCACCATAGCCCAGCCTCCATATCTGGTTGGGCTTGGACTACAGTGATAACACCAATGAAGAATCGTAACACTGAAAACCATTGTCAATGAGAGCTGACTCTCGCCACCACCAACATGAGTGTCCAGGCCCTATCTCCTACTTGGCGCTCGGGGCCAAGCCTACTCCCTACACAGCTACAGTCTGCCTACTAATTAACGATGCAACTGTTGACGTCAGCAGCCCACAAGGTACTTGAAGATGTCACCCATAGCAGACCATCGCCAATACCAGGTATATGCCCTCACATTATCATCATCATCATCCGTCTCTCTCTACCTCGTCTTACACCCACGTGTGTAGAGGGGGAAGACGTGGGTGTAAGACGAGGTAGAGAGAGAAGGATGATGATGATGATGTGAAGGCACATACCTGGTATTGGTGATGGTCTGCTATGGGCGACATCTTCAAGTACTTCGTGGGGTGCTGACGTCAACAGTTGCATCGTCAATTAGTAGGCAGATTGTAGCTGTGTAGGGAGTAGGCTGGGCCCCGAGCGCCAAGTAGGAGATAGGGCCTGGACACTCATGTTGGTGGTTGCGAGAGTCAGCTCTCATTGACATTGGTTTTCAGTGTTACGATTGAAACGGTATTCACCAGTTCGCAGTAGCGAATGCAGATCCCAGGGCTCGATCCCTAGTTCCCCGTCTTACCTGTGTACAGTACCAGTGTCAACCCATAGACTTGAACCTGCGACCTGTAGGACCGCCAGTGGTAGGTAGGTTTTCGTAGGTCACAGGGTAGAAGGGAATCGAACTGTAGACCTGTAGGGTAGGAGTCTAGACAGTTCCGAAGTCGYAGCTGTAGGATGCCTGAAGGGTCAAGGTTGTAGCTGCTACTTACCTGAAAGGGCAAAGTCGTAGCTGCTACAGTACCGAAAGGCCAAGTCAGAGGTTTCTAGAAGTGGCCTTTCGGAGTGAGCCTGCGTTGAACAGAGGCAAGTGGTCAAGTGGTGGTAGGCCACCTCGCTGAGTCAACAGTCCCAGTTAGGCAGTCCGGTCCTGTCCAGCAAGTACCGTCTGGGACTGTGTGCACCAAGGGCCAAGGGACACAGGGCAGACCAACGCAGCGCAGAAGTATAAATCAAAAGGCTGAGTCCAGCCATTCCTTCATTCCTGCGGAAGCCATGCGGAAGCGCTGCCTCGGCAGCTTGTGCGAGGAGGTCTGCAGAAGGCCCGAAGATGAAGAGGGCGAGAGTGACATACTGTAGCCATAGCAGTAGGGTAGCGTCGGCCATAGCCGCCATAGCTGTAGCTTAGGGGAAGAGTGTGTGTACTGTGTGGGTGTACTGGGTATCGCGTGTGGGACATCCAGGGTGATCCAGAGTGTGAACAGTGTGTTTGAGGCGCACAGTCGCCATAGCCGTTGGAAGCGAACTTACCTGGAAGACATATCTCTGTGTACTGTGTGGGCGCAAGTCGCCAGTTGTGTGCTGCTGTTCACGTGCATGAAAAGTGTGAATAAGTTGCTGTTCCGCGCGCGCCGTCGTGTGCAGGGCCGATGCGCCATAAGCTGAGGTGGTGACCGAAGGAGGCAGTCCGCCATAGCGGACCTCAAGGTGGAAGAAGCCGCCGCGCACCTGCATCAAGAAGACCACGATGAAGAAGAAGACTGAGAGAGAGAGAGAGAGAGAGAGAGAGAGAGAGAGAGAGAGAGAGGAGCGATCCAAGATTGGTTGTCACTTACCTGTAAGGCGAGTTGCGGAGTCCGGTGGAGAGGGAAGACAGCGGCCATAGCTGCGGAGCTTCATCACAGGGCACCGAAGGAGAGAGAAAGGGAGGACAGAGAAGGAGGGACTAGGGAGAGAGAAGAAGAAGCGTGGAAGGAGGGTACCGGAGAAGAAGACAGACATAGCCGGGGTGGCCCAAAAAAAAAAAAAAAACAGAGAAAGTGAAAAAGAAGAAGAGTGAAGGAAGGGGAAGTAAGCGGCGAGGGTGACGAAGGTGATGGTGCCGGCAGCCATAGCCGAGGTGAACGGTTGACCGAGGGTTGACCAGAGGGTTGACCGAGGGTTGACCAGGGTGTTGACCAAGGGTGTTGACCAAGCGTTGACCGGGGGTTGCTGCGTTGACTCAGCGTTGACCAAGGCGTTGACCGGAGCTGCTGACAAAGATTTTGACCAAGCTGGAGTTGGTGATACCTCCCTGAGTCCTTAGCCTATCCCCTTACCTTGTGGATGTGCACTCACCCTACGGTACTTGCTGAGTTTGAGCCAGTTTGTCTTTCCTTTCTGCATTGAGTCTCTTTTGTCCTAGGTGTTAGGACTCTGTGGATGAAGGATAGGGCCTTTGCTGCCAAACCTGCACGAGACTTAGTAGGACTAATCTCTACTCTGGCATCTRGAGACCTGGGCATGAGCGGCGAGCGCTCGTTAAACAACTCGTCTAGCCCAATGACCGGTACTGTCCGGCAGGTCTACTGAGTTCAGTGTAGAGGGTCCGAACCTCGAGCTGTAGGCTGAAACGAAGGCCGTCTTTAAGTGTTGAGGCCTGGTTGAACCACTTCCCTACTGGACCTAGTAAGGCTGATGATCTGTGTCTGACGACTCGACTGTCCCGAGGGATTCGAACCCCTCCAAGGACCGGTACAGACCGGCGGGCTGCTCGGTGTGGCACAGTAGGCCGGAACCGCTAAGTTGTGGGCTGAAACCGCCAGGAAGAACTACGCTGATCACGTCGTCCTGACTGCGACGTTAAAGAATTCTTGCGGAGTTTGGGGGATCTCCTTAAATGCCTCCTGATCAGTTGTTAGTTCAGTAGTGAAAGCCTTAGAGTAGTTGTGAGTAGTGGATCTTAGAGAGTCAGTCAGTGGGGCCGTGTCCGGGTAGGTCTAAGTGGTGAGGAGTGGGACTCTTGTCGTGCACCTGACACCACGATGGACGACTATCCGATGTATGGGTTGCTCGTTGGGTTCTCCCTCTGGGGGACCCTTTGGCGTCTCCTCTTTCCTCTGGGGTTCTGGCACACTTTTACGTGCCCAGGGTGGTGCCTCCACCAAGCCATACACGAAGGAGGAGGAGGAGAAGATGACCGCCATCTCGCAGGAGAGAAAGGAGAAGAAGGAGGCCAAGAAGAAGGCCTTGAAGGAGGAGCAGGCGGCCAAATTGAAGAAGATAGAAGAAGAGATGGCCAGAGAAAAGGAGAGGATACAGAAAGAAGAAGAAGAGAAATTGAAAGAGGTGGAAGAGGAGGAAGAAGATGAAACGCCACTACAAAGGAAGAAGGGGCAGTATAGTGTTAACAGGGATGAGGAGATGGAGAAGCGAATCTCAGAGTGGGTCGCCAACTTATCCCTGGGCGAAGAAGAAGAGGTGGCGATGTATATCTCTAAGGACGATCAGGAAGCCGCTATGAGAGCTTGGGAAGCAGAAAAAGATGGAAGATGAGAAGAGGATGGCATGGAAGTTGGCAATGATAAGGGAGAAGAAGAGGAGAGTGGACGCGGCAGCGGAGGCGGCAGAAGAATTAGAGGAGGTAAAAAATATAGAAGAGCAACTAGCCGCCCAGACCGAACTCCCAGCTCAAATGCGAGTCATAGCTCGAAACGTTGCACGCCTGGCACGAATCCAGGCGGAGCAATATGACTTTAGTAGGAGTCAACCCATAGTTGTGCATTCAATAAAGTTGGGATTCCGGGACTTTGCTCGAGAGTTGGTAGGCGCTATAGGCACTGAGGTGGGCCACCGCCTCGACAAGACTGAGCGGTTCTGCGCTAGCGCCATTGAGGGCGTCAAGGCGGCAGCTCCCAAGGAGGAGGAACCACATCTTCCTCGCCGGGAGCCGGTCAAAGTCAAATTCCCTGATTCCTACAGTGGGAAACGGGAAGAGAACTTTGACAATTGGGAGGCTAATGTCAAGACTTATGTGCATCTGCAACAGGTCTCCCCGGATCAGCACGTTCTGATTGCGATCCATGCACTTAGAGATGAAGCCGCCTGCTTTGCGAGGTCCTTAGTCCGTGCTGCCAACCGCAATGATGATGCAGTTGCTTACTCCTCATTCACTCCTCTCATCGATTTCCTGAAGTTGTTGCGCGAGAGGTTCGTTGATGTCACCCGCAGCGTTAAAGCCTCAGATAGGCTGCGGACAATCCACTCTCGTAAGTGGAAAAGTGTCAGGGCCCTTAAGAGTACAATGGATGAGTTAGTGGTTGTGCCCGACCACAGGGTTACGGACAACCAGTTGGTCGGCCTCTTTTATCGCGCTATACCCGAAGCCCTTCGAGGGCATTTCTTCGCAAAGAACGAAGACCCTGCCACTACGTTCGATTCTCTTCGTCGTGGGGTGGTGGCCTTTGAGGCCAAGTCTATGTCAGTTTCCACCTTCTGGCACAAGGACTTGGACAAGGGTAAGCAATGGCAGGGCCGCACTATCTCAGGGCAAGTGAAGACTAAGGATAGCCTTGTCCTAACCTTAGATGAGGGTAGTGTGGACGAGATCCCCTACGATCAGATTGAGTGGGGGTTAGAGGAGGAGGATAGCGGTGTGGGCCAGGGGAGGACTTACGCTGCTGTCGCGGCCGGAGGGAGGCCGCAAGGAGGAGGTCGAGGCCAAGGCCAAGGGGGCCGGGCCTCAGGGAGCCGGTTCCAGGGCGATCAGGCGGTTGGCGGTAGAGGAGGAAACCGCCAAGCGGGAGGCAGGGGTCAAGGTCCCCTGCAAAACCGTCCTAGCAATAGGTCTCCCTATAGGGTAGGAGGATGGCACCCGAGGCTACCGCAGGGTAGGCCTTGGGAAACTTCGGGTCTGGACCAGACTTTATGGCAACAACGATTGGACCGGGGCCAGTGCATTTTCTGCGGTGACCCGGGCCACATCATCAAACACTGTCCTAAGTATCGAGAGACCCGAACGGCTGCTCAAGGGCCAAAAGGCAGCCGCCGGTAGGGATAGCAACTGCCCCTACCATTAGGCCATGTGGGGAACATAGCGCTAGCCGGCAGGAGACTCCCACACCACATGTGCCTATGGCAGAGGTTGCAGGCCGGTGTCTAGATAGCTGCCCAGAGATCGCTTGTATTACCCCAATACCTTATCCCACTTGGCCTTATCATCTGGCTGGGCCAACACTTCCTTCCTGCATTCCTGCACCTTTGCCACCTCGGCGGTCAATTTGTTCACTTCCTCTCTCCTCCTCTTCTTCTCCCTCTTCATCCTTAACTTCCATGCCAACTTCTGCTAGCTCATTGGCCAGTGCTTCCCTCTCATCCTGAGTCACATAGGACTCTGCCCCCTCATCTTCTCCCAACGATAAATTAGCGACCCACTCACTTATTTTCTTCTCCATCTCTGCATCTTTATCCCTCTTCGTGCCACTACCTCCTTCTCCACTCTCAATACGCATTCTCTCTTCTTCTTCTTCTGCTGCCGCTTCTTCTTCAGCAGCCTTCTTCTTTTTCTCCATCTCCTCCAATTCCTTCATCTTCGCCACCAAATTCTGCGATAGCCTTTAGCTTCGCCTTCTTCTCGAGCTCTTTCCTCTCCTTGTTCTCTCTGACTAAGGCGGCCATTTTCTCTTGCTGCTCAGGGGTGTTTGGGCTGGTGCTCTTCCCACTATGCAACTCCACAATGGTGACATGTGTACAACCGGGTTAGTGGTTCCAAACCTCACCACGTAGATTATGACCCCTGACTGACAAACCTAAGGACTCAATCTAAGGACTCACAGAATCCTTACAGGGATCTTGCCAACTATGGTCTCTACCCTGGACCTAACTATGGCTGTCACTACTAGACCTATTGCTGATCAGGAGGCATTTAAGGAGATCCCCCGAACTCCGCACGAATTATTTAATGTCGCAGACAGGACGACGCGATCAGCAGGTCTCTCAAGACTTAGACGGTCTGTTGTACAGCCCACAGCTCGGATTTCGAGGCCTACCGTGCCACACCGAGCAGCCCGTCGGTCAAGTACCAAGGGGTGTGTGCACATCCATAGGGCAAGGCATAGGGTTAGGGCTTGGCGAGATGTTACCAACTCCAACTTGGTCAAAGTCTTGGTCAACGCCTTGGTCAACGCTGGTCAACGCTGCGGTCAACCCTCGGTCATCCCCCACTCAACTCCGGTAAATGCCGGTCAACACCTTCGGTCAACCCTCTTGGTCAACCCTCCGGTCAGCTATGGCTGCTGGCTCCTCTTCCTCGCCAACCCTCTTTCTTCCCTTTCACCTCAACTGTCTTCTTCTTCTCTTTTTTTTTTGTTTTTTTTTTTATCGGCCCTCTCTTCACCCCTCGACTATGGCCGCTTTCTCTCCCTTCTCGGTCTCTCCCCTTCTATTTGGTCTCTCTCCCTCCTTTACTACTCCGTGGTGATGCTCCGCGGCTATGGCCGCTTCTTCCTCCTCCACGTGGGACTGCACAGCTC